TGCTCCCATGTTTTCCGGAACACGTTGACAGATCGCTTTGCTTATCGTAGCTTATATGGATTTTCAGCCTAAACTCTAAAATCTACTACAGCTTGTAAAACCAGCATCAAGAATTCCTACATTCAGTCTATAGGAAGTTATACGTATATTTGAATGTATTCACCAATGTATGATGTATTTCATGTGAACTGTTGCATGCTTCTTTCAAATTTTCTCTGATTCCCTGCTTTTTTCAATGCACATATGCTCTCGGATAACAAAATTGCACAACCTTACCACAACTTACCTATCACATTGAGCAAACAAAAGCCTAGAAAGGACAGAAAATAAGACTAACCAACTAATAATTCCAAATGTTAGTTATACACTCTTTCTTATTCATTCATTAACATAAGATTATCACAGCATGGATTCATGTTTTTTTTCCAAAGTGCTCCAAATTGTGATGATCTTGCTACCTGTTCGCAATCACTTAACATCCCAGAGGCATGAACTGTATTGTTGCTTTAATGCATGAGATAAAGTTAAGAACTATTTAATGAATTTACATTCTTGTGAAGCTATTATATTTTAATTAGCTGTTAATGAATGTAAATCAGCAGTTATGTAATGCAAACAATTGATGAAGAAGGCTACAGAGTCTCAATTGTTTGGGGAAATCCAGATATATGGCCAGAATAAATTAAAATAATAAGGGGTTCTTTTTTTATTTGGAAAATTTCTGATAAGGAGGGAGACCTGCAAAGTTACACGACATCTAGAGGCTGCAAGAAAATGATAGATCAAATCATATGTGAAAGTGTGGGAGACTCTGATCTACTGTCTAAGTCAACACAATACTGAACAGGAGCTGGTGCCTACTCATTCCAAATGTTGCCCTTCAGTCTTGGCTGTTCCTGTAGGTACTCTGAGGGAATGGTCTCTGTCAAGCACTCTGTCCTGACAACTAACACCTACTATATTATTGCTTCTTGCAGAGGACCAGTTGTGATACCTGAGACTCACACTGTCATTAATCATCTATCACATTAGAACTGTGAGCCTCTCATTTACAATACAGGTTTTTCAGGAAATAGGATTAAAGCAAGCATGGGACACATAGAGTTTTCAAACATACAATTGCTTCTATTGAAATTTTTAAGAATTGGAAAAACCTGGAATCAGGGCCCTTATCTCTAGATCATACTGCCCTTAAGAGTCCTCAGGGTGGCATGTGCTCATTGAAAGGCACATTTCCTCATCATCTCATGAGGATCCTGTGAATTCATTGGAATAGACAATTTCATTAAAATAAATAGGTAAAAAAGGTCAAACAAACCCCTAATAAATAGCAGTTTTGAGATTACACTTTAAAATCCTCTTATAGAAACTGAAAACAGTTATTGCAGTGGTATTTGCTCAAAGGTCTGAAATAGTATCTCACAGAGGAGTGAACAATTCCGTTCAGTTTCAACTGAATGTGAAAGTTTAAAACCCAGTTTTTGAGAGCTTAATCGGCTGCATTCCAGCAGAGGGCAACAATAATAGGGTACAATTCACAAAACAAGATAATAGTATGGAAGGGTATTCTTCTGGATTACTGCTTCTCTTGCATGAAGACTGTTAAGGAAAATAAAATAAAATTTAAAAAAAAAGAAAAGTTGCAATCATTGTGCATACCTGAAGCCAAAGCCTGCTCAGCTGCTCACCCTGCTGAGGAGTGATGTGTTCCATGTTCTTACTTGTTTCTTCTGCAGAGCAGGCACAGCCATCACTGTGAAAACTATCCATCTGTGGTGGCAACATCTAGTGTGCAAAATTAACTGAATTTGGCCATGGTGCATTCTTCTCTATGTCTCACTTCATATCATCTCTCTGTCCAGCATTCTTCATAACTATGATGTCCTAACATATTTGGCCAGCTGAATTTTTGGAACATATCTAGTCATACATGTTTGTACCCTTATCACAATCAATTATGCTTCAAACCATTCTTATATGATAGCTTCCACTAAAATCTGTTCTTCCATTATTGGTCTCATATCAACATCACTTGCCTATTTACTAGTCAGATGCAACATACTACAGAGACCTTATTTTTGATGCTTTCTTCCTCCTTCCACGTTTAGGTGATCACGAAATCCTAAACTACTTTCTTTACTGTGTTCTTAGTTTTTCCTAATTTGCATTCACAGAAGTTGAACCAGAATAGAATTTCACCCCTCAGCACCTGTTTTTTGAACATGAAGTAGAAGCAGGTAGTTCTTGCTAGCTTCAATTCAGTTTTCATAATGCTTCCTGTATATTTGCCTTCAGAACAGAATTTGTTAACTAGTCTCCTCTTGTGCCACTCCTGATTTTATATTGCTCTAGTTGAACACATCTTTCTAAAGAACGTTCTCAGAGTGCCTGCCTTTCTTTCTTAGTGTAGTATCTGCTAAGATGTTTTATTTAAAAATATTATGTGCATATATGTTTGCAGTGTATCGTACTGGTGTCCTCTGATGAAAACAAATGTTATTCATTTGCATCAGTTACACAGTGTTGTGTGCTGTGATTGTGCTTAATAAAAAAAGAGTATTACAATGAGTTCAGTAACGTTATGGAAGACTGAAGGAACATTTCTTTTTTAGATTATCAAGTAACAGAAGATTTTTTTCTCTTTTCATTTGTGAAAAATGTTTACATTTAGAATTTGATTCTTAAGGATTGGTGGATCTGGATTATTTGTAGATGTGTGTATTTTGTAACATGCTGGGAAGAACAATGTTGGCTAATGTTTTTCTTTCCGTATTCTCAAGACAGTGTATCTCATAGTCTTAAAGATCAGTGACTTCTGCTGCCTAATTGTAGAACTTTTTTGGTTTTTATGTAATGTCTAATACTGAATGATAAACATTTAGGGTGTTCCTAAAACTAATCACACTTAATATTTTTTAGTTCCAGGTAGAACTGAACACCTATAATGCAATTTGCAAACTATAATGTAATTAAAAATAACGCATTTCAAGAAATCATCACCATATTACCTGAAGGATAAACATGATTGGTTTAATTCATCAAAGTAACAACAGTTAAAACAACTATGCAATGTAGGTGCTTAGATCGTACTTTAAAAAAAATGAGCTGGAAATTTGTGAATGAGAAAATGATGTTTGGGCCATGCAATTACATTTTCCACGAACATTTAAAAGTACACAAAGCTCCTAATTATTTCTGTTAAAAAAATTAATCTCTATATATGAAGTAAACAAAAATACTGCCAAAGTATTTAATATGTAACTGTAACTTGCCCCTAAAGAGATATTTTCAATATTTTGTTTAGAATAGTATAATCTCTTTTTCTTGACAATGTTCTTTCATAACTTAAATTTTTCACAGTATTGGCTGTAGTCTTTGCTTAAACTAGAAAGAAATACACAGTTTTGATAAGGATTTTAATAGCGTCTACTAACACAAACAGGGATTTATCATGCTGGAGTATTTCATGTCAGATTTAGGAATAAATCCCAACAGTCTTAAAATCTCTGTTTTTCTGTCAAAACCCTGTGTTTTTCATCCATCTTTTCTTTTAAGAAATTGTGTAAGATAGTTGGTATCTTATAAAGCATGGATTCATTTTGTTTTAATACTTTGTCCACCAAATGTCCTAGCTCCTCTAATGCTTCCCCTTAACTTACATTGAAGAAAGGAGGAAACTGAAGCTGATGTACCTGCAAGAAGGGAGGGTGGAAACGTTCTTCTGACACTTTTGATTCAGGATACATTTGAAAACCAACTGAAATTGCTTGCCAGCATGTTCTTGACAGTGAGAACTATCCTTTGATAGTGAAACTGCAGGATATCAGTGACAGTCTTACAGGCTTGCTCAGTATTTGTATGAAGAATGCAAAGAGGTTACCACTGCAGCAAACAGTCTGTTTTTAAAGTCTGCAAAACACAGTGGCACTCACATCTCTGCATATAGTTGTTTAGAGATGATATTATAAACACTGGAGGAAATTCAGTAGTGATTATTTTTTTCTTCTAAAAAGATATCATACCTTTGGTTGAAGTAGTGTAAATGTTACACTGTGCTTTCAGGGCTTTCAGGGCTATACAATTGATTCCTGGTTGACAATGTCTTTAATTTGAAGATGTGTTTTACCTATTTACCCATAGCTACAAAAACAATTGTGAAAAGTTAACATAAGAGAGCAAAAAATAAATTCTAGGTATTAAGTATCTGTCATGAATGCACATGGTAGATTTACCAGGTTTGCTCAAAAGGGCTTATGCTTAAAATAAAAAAGAACATTTTTGTTCTACTAATGGCAGGAATGGGTATGTTCCACACTTAATTCTCCTTCTATTGGGCACTTTTGTGTCAGAAGGCTGGCAATGTTTATGTAGATGGAGTCAATGATCTGCAGGGCTAAATACAAACTCCTCATGAATCAGGTGTCTCAGACTGCTTTTCTCTTTACTTTTTACTTAGGGGTATTGAATGTTTTAAGAAAAAACTACTTGAACAATTATCAAAACTGATTTTGCACACTTGATTTTGCACCTAGGATACAAGGGTAGAGTAAGGGATGTTTCAAAGGCTATTCCAGCCCAGTTTTCCATTATTCTTTAAGGAAAGGAATTTGCTTAAAACTTGATGATTTTGGTGGATGGCAGTAAGTTGTTCTGAATTACTTATATAGTTATATACTCTAGTTTATGTTATCACTTCTAATCAGAAAAAAGCAAAAGAAGTAGCGTTGTAGAATTCAGAAATAACTTTGCATGTATTCTCCTTTCCTGTATTCTGAACAGCAGAATGAACCACACAATGACCACAGAAATGTCCCATTATTCACATGAGCTTGTCAAAGATTTCAGTCCCTTTACCTTTACTGCAGGAGATATATATATATTTTTTTTTTACATACATAATTTGGAACGGAATGTCTGATATATGTCTCTAAAATCCAATGTTTTGGTTCTTTTTCTTCTAATGACTGAGTATTAATCTATTTATTTATTCATTTTTATAGATTAAAAAAATCAACAGGAATTTTCCCGTAAACCAGCAGGTAAGAAAAAGAAAATTTGGAATTGTTTCATCTATAATTCTCATTTCAACAGTATTTAATTATGTGGTAGCTGTGCATTATTCTAGCTCAAGGATTCTCAGTAGATTTTCTTTAGCGAGTACCTTGCTGCCTCAAAATAGTTTGGTTTTTTTTTCTAAAGTCAAAGGGAACCGGAGTGTTTGGTCAAAGTAAGATCATGCCTAATCTTTTCAATTGAATCTGTTTAATGCATATATATATATATAAATGTTTTCTTCAGGCTGCATCTTACCCATTTTACTATAAAAGGGGGAATGGGATTGTTATGCTTTACAGAATTAGCTAGTATCCATCAATGTTCTAAAATTCTAAAAATGTATGAATTCTATTGTCCAAATGAAGACATAAAAAAATAATATTTGCACAAGGTTATGGAGCAGGCCGGTAGCAGAATTTGGAACAAACTGAATCATCTGACTGTCTCCAAGTTCATCCATTGGCAGTGTCATATTCCTGGAAGGCACTGCAATGTCTTAAAAAAAGGGAGTAGGATTCCTTGAATAGAGATGGTTTCTTGCAAAATGCACCATGAGCACAATTGCTGCTCTTCTCTACAGCTGTGTATCAGGTGATTGGATCCATGGGATAAAGGGATAGAGCCATGTGTCTTGAGAAATCTGTTCTTTCCACAATTTTTGTTTTTTTAAAGATGCAAACCTACAGGCAGCTCAAAGTTAAAGGCTGAAACTCTGAGGTTCTAGTTGCTAAAGACCATAGTAAGAATGGACAACAGCCACACCTCCTCAAAAGGATCAGCATATATTTTAGAAAACTCTGTAAACAAAGCATGAATATAAATATTCAGGGTAAAGCTCAGTACACTGTAAAGTGATCAAAGATTCGTTTGGAACATAGTCTGTTCCCATACTACAGTAATGCCATTAATTGTTCTGTAATATAGCACAACAACAGTTGAAAATGTGATCATTTTGCGGTGGGCTACTTATCATAGAGTACATGTCTAGTAAATTAAACCAATTAAGTATGCATGTGTTGTGTATCACAACTATTACATAGTGGGGATTTCTTTTTATGGAACTTGTAATAAGGGGAAACAGAGAAATCTGATTCATCAGAAGGAATAAATTACATCCTTGTAGAAGGAGAGAAATATGTATGGGGACTGAGCCGTAAACTTGCCTTCAAGAGGACAGATTTGAGGAAGAAAACTGCTTTCACCTCCCTTACTCCCATCTTCAGCCAGTCAATGTATTTCGCAGTTCCCTGTCTCTGGTCCAACTTTATTAATATGGAATTATTAATATGGAATTGTGCTGAGTGTAACTCACAGTGGAGGGAGTATTACTATTTTCTTTGCTGCTTTCTTCATGAGAAGGTCCACAAATCATAGTAAATGAATGACAATAATAACAACAACAACAATATGGTTATGTATAAATGAAGTTAGAATAAATAAAACATAATAATTAGGTACATTTTTATTTGCCCTTGATTCTCAATTCTTCATCTGCACTACAATTACTCACATTTTTAGATACTTTTATCTCAGTCTTGCCTCCTGAATTCACAGAAAGGAAGTGGTTTGTCACATGCAGCAACTGAAGATAACACTTGTATTAGGGCATTTTCAGAACAGTTTCTATAACATCAGTTACTGGCAGTGGCAAAGAAATGCTCCTATCTCAAAAGAAGGAAGGACAAAATGCCTAGTAAACAAAAAATAGTTAACTAGCTCTAACTGTAAAAAAAGACAACAAAAATATAAACAACAGTTATAATGTCCCACCAGGCTGACATATTAATTCAGTGATCTCTGCTGTTTTGGAACTCTTGGCATGTGTGGTCAGTAAGGCATTTTCCTCTTCATTAGAATTCCAGTGGAAAGCAAAAATAACTTTCTTGGCTTGAATAGCTTGTTGGTCATGTTATCTGTTAGGGCAGCCTGCAATTAATGTGTTCTTCTCTCATCAACATCGATCACTATATTCCAAAGGAATTACCATGGACCGTTTCTAGAAAGTCAGCCAAAAGGTCAAACTGAAAAGAGAGAGGCCAATTTGATGGACAGTGAGACTGATAAGGTCTCACAGCCCATCAAATACTGGAAAAGGAAAAGGTTTATTGATCTGTGGATGTCTTGAAATTTTAGGGAACATTAATTTCAAAAACAGACTCCCTTTTGGGTTTACCTTATGTAGAGAGGGTTGCGTTTCTTTTATTGTAGAAGGAGCTAGGAAATATCAACTAATTTAAGTTAAATAAGGTATTTCTGAGAAGAGTCAGAAAAGACTACACACATGTAAGGTTAATTTCTGACTTCTTATATACAGCAGATATTAACATGATATGCAGGGAAGGAACAGGCCTTTTTACTTGTTACATTAACACATAATTATTTATCTGAATATTAAATTATCATCTTGACTACTTTTGTCATCTTGACATTTATTTTAATAAAATACATTCTTGTCTAAGAGGCTGAATAGCTAGTTTTAACTTCTTTCTGCAAGCACATCATGAACTTCAACTGTGAAACTGATCTGATTGGGATTTTATTTCTAGATTTTTTCTTACAATATGTTTTGCCTAAAATGATTAGTCCAAACTACAAGCATGTTATCTGTTTAGGATGGAAATGCTTCTATAGCTTATTGTACGCCCTATGCATCTTGTTCAATAAAAATCAGTAATAAGACAAACTGACAGTTTCTAAGCACCTATAATGAAACATTTTCAAAGTCAGTTTATTGAAAAACATCTATTGACTAAGAATTTTTAGAGTACTATCTTTAGTCAATACAGGTGGAAAAGGTTTGTATGATCATGTGGCTTTTCAGTTCTCCCTCAGTGACAAAATTTCTACAGCATATTTTACATTTCTTCCCCATATATCTAAAAGATTCCTGATAAATACCAATAAATTTCAGTACTTAACCTTTTCTCTCAAATATCCTCCTTTTGCTAAATATCCAGTTACTAAGGAGTTTAATATATTTATCATACTTAGATATTACTAGTATCAAAAATGCATGTGAAGGTTTTGATTTTACAGCTTTGTTGATCTAAGCAAAATTTTCTGTAGAATTTTCCATCAACAATGACAACATTGCAAGTTAATCTTTTGACTGCTGTCTTGATCCTAGTATGCTTAAAAAAAAAAAAAAAGCATACTTAATTTCACTTAACGAATACCCATGGGGTTTTTTATGAGCACTAGCAGGGTAATTGAAGGTTATTTTCACTTAGAATTTTTGTATATATATGTTCATATGCATATATATAGAAATAAAATTAATATGTATATATGTATTTGTATATATACGTGGATTTTAATTAGTTGTTAAAGGTAAAGGGGGGGAAGGCAGTTGTCAAACTAGAGTCAAGGAACCAATCCAGTTAGAATTCCTTTATGAATATATTCTCAATTCGGAGCAGAAAATATCGGGACAGATCCATTAGCATTACAATGAGGAAACAAATGAACCTACATAGGTGTGGAAGATACTGTAACACTGACAATGTTATCCAAATGTCTCAATGTTGCAATAAGTTAAAAAGAGAAGAGAAAAAGTGATTAGAAAAGACTTGTTGACTGCACATAATGTAGCAGCTTTCCTCTAAGGCAGTAATTGTGAAAGTAGGTTTGTCTGAAAAATTATTAGAAAGATAAGATACATTTATTGGAAATTAAAAGTTCAAAGATGATGAGTATTGATAAGAAAGTGATAATTATATGGACAGCATGAAGCAATAAGAAGTTCTGAGAATGGTGTTAATACATTTAATAGTGGTGGAAAGATGATGCAAAAAATGCTGGAAGAGGACCACACAGACAAAATATTGTTGAAGAAGATTGTGGGAGAAGAGGGAAATAAACTTCCCCCTTTCTGAGCTGACAATGATGGAAAGAACACTTGAAGGTGGTAAAAAGTTAGAAAATTGGTTGCAGTTTCTATATTGGTACTATATGCATGGGCTACATATAGTACCATCTAAGACAATATCAGCAAGTAGTTCATTTCAGCAAGAGAAAAAAAAAATAATAATTTGGTACTGAAAGCATAATGCATATTTTAAATATGCACTAAAAATAATACTATGTCGTAGACAAAATTTCCATAATTCCGGAGGAAAAATGATAAAGACCTCATAGCAGAGATGCATGAAGAATAGAATATTTCAAGGTTTCATCCAGAGGCTTCTCTCTTTGATCAGCCAAGATGGAAGAGGAAACACAGGCATGTTTCCTTTTCTTGGAACTCATCACTGCTGTTCAGCTGTTACAGTGATTACAGCAAATGTCACCTCCTGAGAGAGCCATCATTAGGCAGGTGAGTTCTGAAAGGTGGCATCGACTTCCCTGCTAACCCTTTCCAAACAACAGGAAAATACACCCTACCTCAATAAACTATGGTCGTGTATTGAGGACAAGCACTGCCCATTCCGTTTCAATTCCCAATCTTTACATTAGCCACCATGAGTTTGCGAATGTGCTGATCTCAGCTGAAAATTGACTTGTTAGCATCTAAGGAAATCAGCATTAGATAGTCTTTCTTACAAAATCTTCCGATCCTTCTCAGAGTGGGAAACCAAATGTATTGCCTCCAGCTACTGGAGATTTTACTACACACTATAACCTTCATTTGCTATATGGGTTTTATTGGGATTTGGCATTTACCAATTGCCATGCCAGGAGGATGAATTGGTTACACCTGGTTTAGGTACGCAGTGGAATTCAAGGTTTAGAACTACACCTTGGTCTGGCCTTCAGTTCACCCGCTCCTGTCCCTACATGTACAAGTAGCTACAATGTTTATAAATTGCAGTTGGGAAAGTCCTTAGTTTCTGATTGCACTTTTAACTTATTTTACTCAACAAGCTAGCGGTGCACAGCAGATTCAGTACATTCCAAACCCGGGGAGCTGATTTTCCCTTTCACTGGATTATGGCTGTGCTCACATACATGTTCACAAATGCAATAAATAGCCTCTTGCTTCTTT